CCCTGGGTTCGATTCCTCAGCACCACATAAGCAAAAAGAAAAAAGCCGGAAGTGGCGCTGTGGCTCAAGTGGTAGAGCGCTAGCTTTGAGCTGAAGAGCTGAGGGACAGTGCCCAGGCCCAGAGTTCAGGCCCCATGACCGGACCCCCCCCCCAAAAAAAGAAAATAATTTCTTTCACAAATATCTATTAGTCCTTGCTGGATTATGCCTCATATATTCTAGATTCTGATAATTATTTGTGAAAGTTTTTTTTTTGTTTTTGTTTTGTTTCTAAGTCAAGACTCTCACCATGTAATACAAGTTAGTCTTAAATTCCCAATCTACCAAGTCTGTGATTATAGGCATGTGCCACCATGTCTTTTCTCCCCTCAGTTCTGGGAATCAAACCCAAGACTTTGAACATATTAGCTAAGCACTCAACAACTGACTTATACACCCAGCCTATGTTATTATCATCACCTTTTGCTATTTCTATGTGAGATATTTGTTTTAAAAAATACAAAAAAAACCTGAGGAAATTTCTACCACTTTTCCCTTCCTTCTTTCCTTCCTTCCTTCCTTTCTTCCTTTCCTTTTTTTGTCAGTCATGGGGCTTGAACTCTGAGCCTAGGCTCTGTCCCTCAGCTCTTCAGCTCAAGGTAAGTACTCTGCCACTTGAGCCACAGCACCACTTGCGGTTTTCTGGTGATTAATTGGAGATAAGAGTCTCACAGACTTATCTGCCTGGGCTGACTTTGAACTTTGATCCTCAGATCTCAGCCTCCTGAGTAGCTAGAATTACAGGCGTGAGCCACCAGAACCTGGCTCTTTCCTTTCTTTCCCGTTCCTTCCCCCTCTCTCTCTCCCTCCCCCCTCACTCTTCTTTTTTTTCCTTCCTTCCCTTCCTTCTTTTCTTCCTTCCTTTCCTTCCTTCCTTCCTTCTTTCCTCCCTCCCTCCTTCCTTCCTTCCTTCCTTCCTTTCTTTCTTTCTTTCTTTCTTTTCCTTCTTTCCTTCTCTCTCTCTCTCAGCAGAAGCTCGCTCACTATGTCATCCAGGCTAGCTTAGAACTTGCTATGTAGTCCAGGCTGCCATTGAACTCACAATCCTGCCTCTGCCTCTCAAGATTACAAGTGTGTACCACAGTTCTTGGCTTGTTTTTCCATTTTAATGTAAATAGTTAAAGAAAGTCCAACTAAGGCAAAAAGGTCTTTCATGAAAACTAAGCTTCTCTCTGGCTAGGGTCCCTGGATCCACTCACCTATCCATTCTACAGGAGAACACTCTTACCAGTTCTTTGTCTATCTTTTCAGAAGCAGACTACATGTATGCAAGACTGCCCTGTGAATAACATCTTATCTCTCAGAATTGTGTGAAAGGTTATGTCCTCCCCAGGGTCCAAGACTTCCTAATCATCTTGATGGCTTGACTCCCTTCAGAGAGAAGCTTTATACTTTTCATTGATGTTAATGAGTGTTCACTTTGATGTTCCCTTTGAAGGTGCAATCAGAATTTGCCATTTGGGAGTACTGGTACCCTAAAAAAAATGAAGGTTTCTAATGCTGCTGGAATAAGTAAACACAATAGTATTTCAGTTGAAGGAGTAAGTTCGTTCAACTAGAGTTTTTGCTTTAATTTCCAATGAAATCTGTATCAATTACTTCTCAAATACCTCATTTCATGGGTGTCTTCTCTATAATTGTCTTGTAGGCAGCAAGTAGTTTTTGTCTATTTGTGACCATAAGGAAGATCACCGATTGATAAAGAAAGGAGAGAAGTTGGGCTCTGATGGCTCACTCCTGTAATCCTAGCTACTGATGAGGCTGAGATCTGAGGATCAAGGTGTGGGGCCAGCCTAGGCAGGAAAGTCTGTGAGACTCTTTTTTAAAAAATGTTTTTTATTGTAAAAATACTGTACTGTACAGAGGGGTTACAGTTACATGAGTAAGGTAATGAGTACATTTCCTATCCAATATTGTTGCCTCCTCATTTTTTTCCCTACCATCCCTTCCCTCCCTACCTCTCCAATGCCTTCCCCCACCCCCCACTGAAGTTGTAAAGTTCATTTTCAACATAGTGTCTTGTACAACTCATTGTTACAATGGGTCAACATGTATCCTTATTTAAGCATTTTGTTATTTCCCTTCCCCTCCCCAAATTAGAAAAATGTATATACAATCTGCAGGGCACGCCAATCAAATACCTTGAAAACAAGGGTTATACCATGGGGGAAGAACATACAAAAGAAACAAAAAAATCACATAAGACATTATAGATATGTTAAAAACAATAGCAAGAAAGTAATAAACAAGTTGTCCCTATCTTGGGGTTCATTTCACTTAACATCATCTTATACGGTCATATGTACATAGCTTTTGACCTTTTTGCTTGTCCTAGACATATACTAGTTATTGCAAATAAGGGAAACCATGGGACTTATGTTTCTTTGGGCCTGGCTTACTTCACTTAATATAATTTTTTCCAAGTCTTTCCATTTCCTATCAAATGGGGCAAGTCTGTGAGACTCTTATCTCCAATTAACCATCAGAAAGCCAGAAGCGGAGCTGTGGTTCCCTCCCAAGTCCCTGGTCTTTGCTAGGTTACACCTTGTCTTCTACACAAGGGCTAGGAGAATAAACAGAGTGTGACATTGAGTTCTACCTGTGTTTCCTATGACTCAAATCAAGTTCCATTATCTCCTGTCTATCTCTGGTGAGTTCCTCTTTGTCTCTCCCATTGAGCCACTCAAGTTATCTAGAAAGTCATTTCATACTCATCACAACTTAAGAGCGGATCCCAAACTCCCAACTTCCCAAATAACCTGTTGTTTCACTATATTCTTTCCATAAAGTTATATACACTTAAATATTATTTTCATTTGTATTCATAGGTTGTTTCAGAAATACTGATAGGTTTGTCTCCCTAGTGAAATTTTCCACATAAAAACTTCTTTAAATAAAAAAGGATATAATAGGGCTGGACATGATAGTTTATGTCCATAATCCCAGCTCAGAAGGATGAGATCAGAAGGATCATGGTTCAAAGCTAGTCCAGTCAAAAAGTTAGTGAGACCCTCTACCCAACTCAATTTTTTTAAAAAAATGGGTACAGTGGTACTCATCTATAATCCAAGCTATATGACTGGTGTAGATAAGAGGATTGTAGGCCCACACACATCCTGAGCAAAAAACACAATACTACATCTGAAAAATAATTTAACTCCAGAAAAGAGCTGGAGGCATGACTCAAGTGGTAGAGTATCTGTCCAGCAAGTGAGAGGTCCTGAGTTCAAACCCTTGGACAAGACCCCCCCCCAAAAAAAAAAGAATAGATTTAAATTATTTGAGATCAAAGGTTGTTTTAATTCCTTACAACACAGAACCTATTATTATTTATAATAATAATTATAAATCTGTACTAATGGTCCATGGAAAGCATTTTATAGGTATGTAGAGTTTAAGTCTAGATCTAAGATGTAAGTGCTCTCAGAATTCTTGTTTGCAGACTGAAAAGACTTGAAGTAAAAGTTCCAGACCACTCAGTCAGTGGCAACACTGATATTCAAATCCAGATGGCCAGGCTGTGAAGCCCACATGTTTAACACCAACAAAGTGCTGCCTACACAGTTTTAGATCCTATATACTCTAAAATCTCTCAATACATAGTAAACCATACCAGATCCCCTTGAGCAGAGCTGGAAAACAGAAGCAAATATTTACCTTCTGCTGTTCAATGTGGCCCTGGACAAGCTGGAGCTTCGTATTGAAAGGAGGAGTGGTTTCTTGACTCTTGCAGAGGTCCCGCTCATTCTCCCCTAGGACAAATTCTGAAGCAGCTTTGAAAGCAGCAACAGTACGCTCCTCGTTGCTCACCAGGTGAATTTCTTGCAAATGACCCACGACTTGATGCTTTTGTAAATAAGTGTAGATTGTTTCTAAAATGATACGTGTACACAAGTCCACAGGAACTTGATAAATTCCAGAGCCCAGCGCTGGAATAGCTATTGTTCTAATGGATGATTTTCTACAGTTGACATAGTTCAGAATATTTATAATAGCATTTTGTAGCTTCTTTTTAGATAACTCTGGACCCAGAACGTGCCACTGAGGCCCCACAGCATGGATAATCTTTCTGCAGGGAAGCTTCCCTGCTCCAGTAACAGCTATCATACCAACTGGTATTTTACCATGGGTGGTCACAAATCTTCTGCTCTCCTCCCGGATGTCAGGGCCACCAGCTCTCTCCAGGGCCCCTGCCAGGCCTCCCACATGGAGAAGATCTTCATTGGCTGCATTCACCACAGCGTCAACCACATGTTTGGTGAGGTCATCCTTCCAAACAGATAACTCCAGTCCAGGGACCGGCCTTTTTCTGAAGACTGGCTCAACAAGAGATTTGCTGTTTCCTTCCAGAGCTGGAAAGAACAGGGTAGAGACACAGCCAAACTTTTTCAGGAGGACTTCACACAGCAGACTTTCATTCTTTTTTAAAATTTGGAAAGCATCATGACTAGTGGAAACTAGCCAAGTATAGTTTTCTTCAAGAGATGTGGTATCTAGAAAAGACGACAAAACAATAAAGGAATGAGCAAAGATTCCTTGGGAAAAAAAGGGGGGGGGGAGAATGACAGCTAGGCATTGGTGGCTCATTCCACTAATCCTAGCTACTCAGGAGGCTGCTGAGGATTATGGTTCAAAGCCAGCCCAGGTAGGAAAGTCTATGATTCTTATCTTCAATTTATCACCAGAAAAATTGGAAGTGGAGTAGTGGCTGGCTCAGTGTGGTAGAGTACTAGCCTTGAACAAAAAAATTCAAGGACAATGTCTAGGCCCTGTGTTCAAGCCCCACATCAGATAAAACAAACAAATAAAAATAATGTCATTTCTCTTCACATTAGGAGATGGAGTTCATTTACAAAACATAGATGAGCTTCCTCTGGCCTCCTCATTGATTCTTTTCATTCATCTAGACATACAATTAGACAAAGAATATCCCAGAGTTTTCCATGGCTGATCACTTGTACCTGGCACTTAGTATTCCATAAGTGATAGCTCTGTGTACAATGATGGTGAGTAAACCATGTGCATGTGAACTCACGAATGTCTTCAAGTCATGTGAAATCAGTGAGCATGGGGATGGTCATGCCAGATGCACATGTACTAGAAAATAATTATGATTCACAAACGTAAGGAGGTGATATTCAGAAGAACTGTTTTCCCTTTTCAGCATCTTAGTTTGAATTCTCGACGAAGTACACCTTGGGGCAAGTATTTGAGTGGTAGTATTTTATTTGGGAGGTGACCTTAGTAGGTACAAAAGCTTTGGTAAAAGAGTACAGGTAGAGAAGAGAAGAAATGAATAAAAAGAAAATAAATAAATGTGTGTTAGCTTAACTCTAGGTAGAGACAATGTAGATCTGAGCCTCTGAGTAAGACCTCCTAGAGGGCCAATACAGGAGCTGAGATAAGTAACTGACTCCCATGGATTATTAGTGTAAGCTGTTTCTTGGTGAGGGAAGCGCGAGGGAGTAATTAAACCAGCAGGTAGATGGAACACTGAAAAGTCTGTTAGAGTAAAGAATGCGTTGTAGTACTATGACATGACTAAAACTAATGTAGAGGTAAAACTAATTGACTAAAAGTTATTTACAGTATATCGCAGACATGATGATGTGCTGCTCAGCTCCCTCTGCCAACTTGGTTTGGTGATGAAGTAGAAAGTGTGATTAGTGCCTATTAGTGCAGCTTCTCAAGGGCTCAGCTCAGCTCTCAGCCAAGGTCAGGCTGTTCCAAGAGCAGTCCCCATAGGGATGGAGCAAAGGCCATGCACACCCAACATGAAACACCTGACAGGCAATGTCAGGCTGCCTGAGACTGTCAGGCTTGCATTACAATTGGGTGGCTCCACATGCCCATTCTGGCAGAGGCCGCCTCCTCTTCCTCCTCCTCCTCCTCTTCCTCCTCCTTCTCTTCCTCCTCCTCCTCTTCCTCCTATCATCTTCTTCCTTCTTTTCTTTCTCCTCTTCTTCCTCCTTTTCCTGCTCCTCCTCCTCTCCCTCTCCCTCCTTCTCCTTTTTATCTTCTTCTTCTCCTTTTTCTCCTCCCCTTTTAATTAACATGCATTAGTTATACAGGAGGAAGGCTTTCATTTTGACATTTCTACTCGGGTATTTCAGTCAATCTCATCCCATGTCCCTCTTCCTTTCCCCTCTCCTAGAAAAATTTCAGCAGGTTTCATTATGCTATTTTCATATATGCAAATAATTTACTTTGACCATATTTATCCATATTTACCCTAATGGTTAGCCCAGCCTCTTCCAGCTACTGCTTTCTTTCTTTTTCATCAGGAATCTTTTGCACATCTAATTCCATTTCCAATTCTAGTTCCTGGAAAACCTAACTTCCACATTGTTTTTCATGGAGTTTAAGACATTATTATTATCATTAGTAGTAGTAGTAGTAGTAGTTAGTATATGCTTCTGAGAGAGGAAAAATGGTACAAATGAAACTGCTCTTTCAGAGATGTTAAAATATGGAGAAATGTGCACCACAAACTAGATTTTAAATACTTGTTACTTGAATTCCGTTTATAGTTTGAGCCACCTAGAAAGACCTCTGGTGGTCTCAGATACTCCAAATAAGTAAGCAGTTGGCCCCAAATGAACTGAGCTTTGGTCAGGAATCTCAAATGGACCACTCCTTGGATTAGACCTAGATAGTATCTGGCCTTTCAGCCTTGCTGATCAAGGGGACAATAAGTTGGTCACCTCTTCTGGCATTTGGCCATATGGCTGTGATCAGAAGGGTCCTAACAAGTTTGGATAAGGGAGAAAAGCAAAGGAAAGAACATGTGTATGGGTGCCACACTGGAGCAGTCCCCTTCTGAAGTATGGACTGGAGCCTCCACAAGAGGTTGTCTTGATTCACAGGAGCACTTGCAGAGACACAGTCCCCTTTGTATACCCTTTTCTTCACTGAGGAAAGATCTGAGCACAGCCTCTCTGTAGTATGAGTGACACTGTAGTGCTCTTACCTGAGCTTTTGCTGGAAGCTGCTGCTCCAACACCCTGTGAAAATGAGAATGGATTTTTTTAAGTGACATAGAATAAGTACAGATTACTTATAACTAACACAACAAAACAGAAGATCTGCTCAAAGTACTAAGCTTGGGATCTTTTTCTTGTTTCATGCTTTGATTTTATCTATGTCTGAAACATTGAAATGTTCCATTGAACATTGACCTTATCCTACTTTTTTAGAAGTCAATGCACTTCTAATTCAGAAGGAGATGAAGAGTTGGATTGAGTGTGAGTGTGTACTCAAGGCCTGGGCTCTATCCCTGAGCAATTTCACTCAAGGCTAGCACTCTACCCTGTGAGCTTCAACTCTGCTATTTGCTGGTTAACTGGGGACAAGAATCTCACAGACTTTGCTACTAGGCTGGCTTTGATCTCAGCTTCCTGGATAGCTAGGATTACGAGTTTGAGCCACAGATGCCCAGTGAAGGGTTGTCGATAAACTCTTGAAGAAACCCAAAGGTCATAGATCAAAATGACCCAAAGCTCTCAGTCTCCAGCATCTGAAGTCTCCTGGACTTTCTCTAGACAGAATAGAGAGCCTGAAGACATAAGCCTCAACAGCTCTATCTCCCACCATGCAGGGCCACCTCCAACTGCCTATTTCATGACATAAGGCCTATGTAGGAATTTTCAGACTCAGCAAATGAGGGACCTTTCTCTAGTCCCTTGTTTTCATTCCTCCTCCATCAACCTCCTTATCCCATGTGGAAACAAAATTACTGAAA